TTGCCATCAAAACCAATCACTCGACTAACTATTGCAAAGCTTTTACTATAAATAAATAACATTTTGCTTTTGTTATGTCACACCCTATCTGACCATTAGTTTTAATGTTTATAATTATATGCCATTATTTTATTATAATTTATTTTACTTTTTATTATAAAAGCAAAATAAATTTTATCTTTTGTAGAAATATCAAGTATTCATCATTTATATGCATTACTTATTATTACAATTAATGCACAAACTATGATGTTTTTATTATTTATTATATAAATGTATTATTTAAAATAGAGTACAGAATAGTCTGTAATGTAAATTCTATACAAACATCAACAGATTTTCTACCATGACATTTAATTAATAAAAATATATTGCTTCGTTAATATAAAGAAACAGAATGCATTGTTTAGTACACGCCTAATATATGTCCAAAAGTACACTGTGCCCATACTGTGTAATCCAATTGATTTACATTGATTGCATTTCACACATTATAGCTTGAATTTTTGATTTATTATTTAGTTAAAAAATATAATATGTACTGTACATGATATTAGTAAATATCTTAAATTATGGTAATATATAAATTTCAAATTCTCTAATAAATAAAAGTAAGCATTTTATAAATTCCCATTTATTCCTATAATTTTTATAATGATTTTTTAAAATAATTCCTTAAATATTTAATGTTATACTTAATATTATCTGCTTATATAACAGAATACTGTTAATGAACTGACTAAATATTACGATGTAATACCCTTTTAGGAAATATACTTTTAAATAAACAAATATGAAGTGAATTATGAGGGCTTTATTTGTTATGGAATATACTTTATATATAATACTTTTTGCATAAAATTAAAGGCAAAAATATAGAATATTAATACTAAAGACAAATATTCGTGATTTTGTTCATAGTATTAAAGATAATATTCTTTAATGTTTTTTGTATATAATAAGTATTTAAGGAGAGGAATGATGTGAAAGAAGAGTACTAAACACTGCACCACATTATACATGCTATATATGCTATTCTTAGCTCTGTTTAATATTCTAGAGTCGCTTCAATAACTCGTATCCATTATAAGTCGTGAAACAACAAAACAGAATCCATTTATAGTATTAAATGTAATTTATATAAAGTAAACATATATTACTTCGTGTATTTTAACGCTACATACGATATAACCTATAGATTAATCAATTAACAAAATTCTGTGAAATTATTATGAAAAATAAATTTGAATAATACATTAATAGTAATACTTGTATTGTTTCAGATAAAAAAAATATGTAAAGAATATTGTTTTATAAAACTATATCTAAATTGAATATTTTGGTAGAGTTTATAGGATATATACTCTGGATTATATAATAAATCAATAATGTTTTAAAAATGTAATTTTTCTGAATGAAATTTTATTCAAAAACATTTTGATCTAAACAATACACACAATAAAATTTCAATTTGTGATATAATGTAGTTCAAGAATTTTGCATTAAATAGACATTTATATTTTAACCATACAATATTTAATGCATTATTTATAATTACGTATAAAATGTTATCATTTTTTGTTGTTTATTTTATATAGTATTCAACGAACTCGTGTTTATTAAATATAATTGAATTTAATTTCGGTTTCTGAATCTTTGTATATAAATATTAAACTACTTATAAATTAGCATTATTTCTGTTGTTGTTATACATAATTTAAATGTTGGTTAATATTTTATTTTTTAATTAAAATAGCGTAATTTAGTAGCGAGATATTAAAATAAATGTATTTTATTATAAGTATCATGTTTTTATATAAAGAGCCAAAAATTTATATAAAAATATTTGTGGCTTTAAATTGAGAGTAAAAGTTATTTTAATGAAATTCTCACTCATTTATAACACTAAATGTACGACGAGTTTAATGAAGCGAATTCTCTAAATATTTTTGGTTTTAGTTTTACAGTTATTTAAGTCTAAATCAATACTATAAATGACACTAAACATGAAAATACATGTCTTTTATTTAAAAAAAAAATTGAATAAATATTAAATAATTTAAAGATTGATTTAAATTAACAAAATGTTAAATGTTTGCAATAATTATGTAAATTTGCAATTTTAAACTCTTGTTTCAAATGTGTTGCAGAGAAGTGTCTTTTAAACAAACGTTTGCTTTCCAAGTAATTATTGAAATAATGGGATGAATAATGTAAATAGTGTTTAGAAAATAGGGTTTTTTGGATACTCCCGAAGTCACCATTTAGTAGACATTATACTTTACTATTTGCTTAGCATTTACTTCATTTATTTGATCAGTAAAATAATGTTTATTTAATTTTATACTATTACTGCATATTATGAGGTGTTTTCATAACGGGAACTAATATTAAACAACTAAATGCCCTTTTTATAAGTGTTTTGAAAGAGTCTCTTGAGATGCATATTAATGTGTAATATATTTTGATATTCTGAATAATACCTGCCATGATCAGTTTATTAATCTATCATAAATATAAATTGCTTTTTTAAAATTAAAATCCTAGAGTTTGAAAATGTTTTTAATTAAAAACGTTTTTATTTAAAAAACTAGAAAATCGATTCAATGCTATAAATAAGACCAAAAACTTGCGAAAAGCGTTACGGAATAAGCAATTATTTGTTGGAAAACATATCCAAAACAATCTGTTGGACACAAATGAGGACCAATTGGAGGAATTAACGTCTCAACAAAAACCAATTTACTATTCATGCGCTGATATGGAGTGCGAGGCCGGAGGTGTTTGCATATTGGATGAAAAACATTTAGATAACAGAATCAGATGTCGGTGTCCTTTAGGCAGAGGGGGCTTCTTCTGCGAGAAACGTGAGTTCATTGCCTATTAATAAATCACAATATTTACAACATTTATATCGCATACATGTATAATTTAATTTCATTAATGCTTCGCAACATTTGCATTACAAAAGCGGTTGAAATACGGTTTCCGCGGTTCAGAGGGACGTCTTATTTAGCGCTACCGACGCTAAGAGATGCCCACCGATCGATGCAAATCAACATTCACTTCAAACCCGAACATTACGACGGCGTTGTCCTCTATAGTGGCGAACAACAGACTCTTGAGGGAGACTTCATTTCACTGACACTCAATCAAGGATTCGCTGAATTCAGGTCTCGACTTGTTTTCATTACTTTATTTAATACAATTTTAAGCAAATATTTTGATATCAAGTAAAAAATTTTGGAATATTAATAATATCATATTATAGTGGAGATAATTTTTATCAGATTTTACACAAATATAACAAATTTATATTTCTTATCAGTAATTTAATATAACAATAAATTATTATTTTAATTAAACAACTGATAAGCATTTATCAAAGAGAAGATCGAAAACTGATTAGTGTTGTTATGGCTACAGATTTGACTGCGGAATGGGTGATGGAGTGATCAGAAGTGATATGCCTGTGGTTCTCAACTCTTGGAATACGTTAACTATATATAGGGACGGATGGATGGCATGGATGCAACTAAATCAAGGGCAACAGATCTCTGGGCAATCGAAAGGCCTCTTCTCGCGGATCACGTTTCGTTTGGAGACATTTTTGGGCGGTTCGCCAAACATCACACAAATCGCCAAAAGAGTTCATTCAAGCAATGGATTCATTGGATGTGTTCGCGGACTACAGATTAATGACAGAACTTATGACTTTCGCTCAGATAATAGGGGCGACACTATTGATGGCGTTGATATTGGTTCGCATTTTTTTGCTTTATTACACATTAATTAATCATATTATTCACTAGAGATGCGGAATAATATAGTTAATTGTATGCCTTTTCCCGTGTCTACAGAGATGTGCACTTCAGACGTTTGCAATAAAATCTCATGTCTTAACAATGGCCAGTGTGTGGCCCTCTCTCCCGATAAAGGCATTTGTTTGTGTCCTTTGGGTATGTTTTTTATTATAGCCTTAAGTAAAAGCCATACGTTTTCTAATACTTAATACATATTTTAACACTAATAATAGGATTCGCTGGAGATTATTGCGATATAGGTTTGTCTGTTTGTCTAACATATTAGATTACCTCTCTCTCTCTCTCTTGTTATTCTATTTATATAATATCGGAAAGTCTTTTAAAGACATTGAATTGACAAACAAAGAGACGATATTTTTCCATTAAACACACGAATCGATATTTTATATAATGTTTTTTGTTTAACATTTTAGAGACAGATTTCATGATTCCTTCGTTCAACGGGTCGTCATATTTGCAATTCCCAGGACTCGGACGCACTTTCCTGTCGTTTATTGAAGTGAAGATTGTATTGAAACCAATTTCACCAAATGGTCTCTTCCTTTATAATGGCAATCGGATGGACGGCAGCGGAGACTTTGTTTTGCTTAATTTGATTCATGGATTCGTTGAGTTTCGCTTTGACTTAGGGTCGGGTCCGGCAGTCATTAGGTTTGCTTACTTCCAAACACAATCACATTATCTTTAGGCACAACAAAAAGCAATTGTATTGAATTAAAATCGTTAATAATAGGAGTCGACATCCGATTGCGATGAATGAATGGCATACTATCGTCATATCGCGCACCGGAAGGCAGGGAATACTTCAGGTGAATGACGAGACGCCTGTAACCGCACACTCTTATGGAGCCTTCTCTCAAATGTCACTTTCACTCAATCTCTTCGTTGGAGGCGTTCCTGACTTCAAAGACATTCAGCGAAACGCTTTCGCCACTAATCTATTCAGTGGTTGTATTCAATCAGTTATTGTCAACAATCGACCGCTTTTGCTATTAGAAGAAGCCCTGTCTGGAGTCAATGTAGTCGACTGTCCACACCATTGTAGTGGTCAGCCCTGTCTCAAAGGTGGTCGATGTGAACCACAACTTGACGCCTATCTCTGTCACTGTCCGCTCAGGTCTTTTGGCAAAAATTGTGAACAAGGTATGAAAGATATTTATTAATGTGCATTAACGTAACACAAATTGTATGCAATTTACCATATTCTTTATCTCTTATAAAGTGCATTATTCTTTTAGTAAAATACAGTTGTATTAGTTTTAATACTAACTTGCATTGCCTTATATAATGTCATTCAATGAATTATTCTCGAACTGCGAAACATATTTGAGAGCTTTAACGCCATTCCTAACCATTGCTTCACTCAATCAATGAACCATTTTATCAAAACAAGAATTACATTACAGTATAGTATAGTATAGAAAGGAATTATAGGTTTGAAGCGGCAATATATCGATGTATTTAATCTCAATGTTAGAGAGTTTGTGAATCATAGCACTGACAGTCACTCTCTTATTGATCATTAAATAATCTTTTTATTCCTATTTTTAGTTTCAGAATTCAATACACTTTTTGCGATATATTCTTCATTTTCTTGATTTTCTTTTCATAAAATTCAAAATACCGTCAAATAGTTTATTAGACGCTTATTATAGTGAATGTGAGAATATATTTATAGTTCACTCTTTAGATGAGAATATCTTCCATCGGAATATTCTCTGAAGTCATTATACCATAAGATGTGTAAACATATGAAGCAAATGATCTCAACTGAGTTGAGGAAAGTTATTGAATCACAAATGAGTTGTTTTATGATTGCTTTTCTCAATCAACCGATTCTTACAAATGTTTGTTTGCCTTTCACTCAACACACAAATCGTGTCATTAAAAACACATTTAATTAATTGCATTATAATTTTATCATAATCATAATGAAAGCGTTTTGCTATTATTTAAATGAGATCTATATTCAAATAATGGCGTTAATGGAGAGAAACAAATCATTTTTGTTTAATATCCATTTTTATGTTAAAAATTTCAAAACCCATTATGGAAATGATTTCCTCTTTTCATTACTATATTTAGAGATGATAATGGTGAAATTCAAGCAATGTTTAGAGCTAAATTTACGGAATATTTAGGGTCTTTCTGAATCTTTGGGCTAAATTTTCAACCAAACTATATTAGCGACATCTTTGGTTTACACATTTACTAAATGAATAACTAGTTTTTGTAATTTAAACTAAATTAACTATTATTATCTACAAAAAAAAAATATTTAAAAATATTTCCAGAAAACAGCAGAATTTTTAAGAACTTGGAAGAATTTTTACTAAATTTAAAATATTAAGAAAATCAAATTACTTTTTAGAATTGTGTTAAACGATAAATGTTCCAATTAATATGCTGATTACTGTATATATTTCAGCTAATTAAAAGTATCCAGCTAAAAAACATGAGAGAACTTCATATTTCTATAAAAATTTAAGCAAAAGTTTTAAAATGTATTTCATTTGGATATTTCACTGAAATTTTCATCCCTAACTATTATATCATATAATTTATGTGAATTTGAATTTCATGTAAAGAATGGTTTAAATTTTGCATAGATTTGACTGTTTTATGAATTACATGTGTTTTATTACACATAATTTGAATGTAAATTAATTAATTAATGAATGAATTGATGGTTTTCTAGGCATCGATGATCTGGACGTGAATCCGATGTTTTACGGAAACAGTTATTTTGAATTCACAAATGAAGAGATCATGAAGAGAGTGATTGGCTCTAAGATAAGCGTTGAGCTGAGAGTACGTGCCTTTAGGTAATGATCACTCGAATCAATCAAAATCACTGATAAAAAGTGATGACAAAGAAATACATTAACCATTTGATTGACTCGATTTGATAACAGCCCCGAAGGTGTCATCTTTTGGACAGGCGTTAGAGAGTCGACGGGTTTTAGTGATTGGTTTTCCATCGGTTTAAGCGAAGGATTCGTTAAATTAGGTTTCGATTTGGGTTCGGGAGAAGTGGAGACCGTGTATAACGTGAGCCGAATAGATGACGGCCAGTGGCACGACATCCATGTGCTCCGACATCAACGTCAGGCCTCTATCAAAGTGGATGACAATATCCCATATAAGGCCACATCTCCCGGATCTCAAATCCAATTAAATACAAAAAGTGGATTATTCTTAGGTATTTGACATTTGATTGCATTCATTGCACACAACAATAATGTGAATGTATTATAACTATTGATTTTGTTTTACAGGGGGTTTAGAAGACACTCCCATTCAGACGTTTAATAAATACAAAAGAGGTTTTATCGGTTGTGTATCGCATATAATACTGGCCACTGATTATCACATAAAGCCTATGAGTGAAGCCATTCGTGGCATTAATATAAGATCTTGTGTTTAATATGTGGTGTTTGAGAGACTAACAGACTTTTATACCACCACTACCTCAACCCTTATGGACGACTTCTAATTGCAATAAACAACTAATTATTATATAATTAGCAAATTATCGGCAAAAACCTAAACTGTGATAATCATATTATGCTTCACAACTATTGTAATTTATATGAAATATTTATATTATTTGTCCATCGATTCAATCGTCGATTCATTTAATTATCAAATATTTTTGTTCAAATGAACGGTAAAACCAAAAACACAATCAAGTCATCAAAACAAACAATTTGGGAATAAATAAGTTTTTTTTATAGGAATAATGCTTTTGAATGTAAAATTCTTGTATTAATATAAATACAATTAATACTACGATAATAATCAGCGTAATCGGCACCGGGAGGCTGTCTTATACAGTAATAACTATTATATAAATATATTATAATTCAAGAACTAATCAATCGATAGTTCACTTAATAATAAAAAATAATTTATCTAAAGCTTATAAATATAGCAAAAACTATGTGCCTCTCTATCTCTCGATCTCTTGATTTCACATCATTTTGTTATAACAAAAATGTTTTTCATTTTCAATAACTTGTGATTTCTTAGATTGTGAAAACATTATTTATAATTATAATTATAACAATTTGTATAATTTTCATTCATTCGACCGAGATGAAATTTGCGTATTTCATATCGGCTTTAAATGTGATATAGAATAGCATTGGATATATACTGTACAGTCAAATGTGTCACAACTTGAATATCATTTTCTAGTCTATCAAATGAAACCATAAAAATCATAACAATTAATAAATAAGTAAATAATTTGTGAGAAAAAACATATAAATATAAAAAGTTTTATTTGTCAAAAGACCACAAGAATCCGCACGTTTTACACTGTTTTCGTGATTAGTGTATTGCACTTCAGTATAACATAGAGGAGACATACAGACAGACAGGACGGGTCCGGACATATCAAATGTTGCAATACTTGTAATTTGCTATTTAATTATGTAATAAACATAAGAAATTAAATCAATTGTTATAACAAACAAAATATTATAACAAACTATGGAAACATAATTATATATAAATTTGACTAAATATACCAAACATACTGTACAGTACTTAGCAATTATATGTTGAGATTGTTTACAGTATTCATAACAAAGTAGTGAACAATTGAATAAAATTCATTCATTTTACAAATTATTCAAATTATTTCTTTCACTTTTTTGCATAAAATATTAATTCACTTTATATTTCAAGGCATTCTATAATCAAATTCTTTCTGTTATGAACTTTTCAAAGGATACCATAAATTAATGCATTATTCATAAGAATATTCTGTCGATTTAATTAACAAAAAATATATGAATTCTTTTTAACAATACTTTTCACTACACATCACACACTCCTCGCATCGTTGGTGCAACCTATCAGCACAGGTACTGTAGGTATGAGATATCGATTATATTATGCATACTATTAAATATTTATAAAAGTGGTCATTGCGGCCAAACCTGAGGTCATTGCGCCGTATGAGGTGAGGTGTATAATATAAATTATAATTTATAATATAACTATAAGTGTACTTTCATTTATAATAACAAATCTCCAATTTACATAAGCATTAAATAGACAAACTCATATTTCTTAAAGAAACTTGGGCAAATTTTAATGTACAAAATGCCATGTGAACAATTAGAACATTTTTGTTAATTTGGAAAAGTTTTTTAAACTCATTTGTTGATAGGTATTTTTGGGCACTGAAATGGTACAAAATCAATGTTGTTGGCCGTAACCCCTGCCGGTCGTTTGTAGTGCTCCCAAATAGTCTGTTTCCCGCACCTCTACTCTATGAACATATTTTAGGCCAATATTGTTGACACGTGTCTCCCATATAAGTGTGACCATCACACCGACGGGTGGCCATCGGTTGGGTGTCATTGCTATGTTGAGGGTAGCTAAGAATTTTTAACGATCACAATCGTTGATACTCATTTAAACAACTTTTATCATATACAGATATTCTGTACAGCACTAATTCCATAGAGTTAACATGCATTAGTCTCATACGATCAACATTATTCATAGGATTAGCATTAGTCCCATAGATCTAACATTGTCCATAGACTTAAAATGAATTACATTTAATGTAAACATTTCCAATAAATAGATTTTTTTAAATGTGCCTAGTTTAGAATGCATTATTTTATGTGAAAAATTATTTAATGCTTTTCTATGAGAATTTAGCCCGTTTTTAGAATTAATATATTTCAGTCACCGTGATAGTTGCCCGTGAAAATTATATATGGATTTAATTTTATGTTATCAGGTAACAATTCTGTGAAAACAGATTCAAAATCAAATCACCTATCATAGTCAAAAGTTATTCACGATTTTCGAACAGTAATTGTTATTTGGAATACTGTATATAGGTTAAAACAGTATTATCTAAGGTTTAATTTGATATAAAGAATAATTATGTAAGTTTAATAATAAGGGAATTTAGCTGTACCTAGTGATTGTCAAAAGTTGTGTAATCCATGCATAATAGGGGCAAATATGACATTATTTATGTGATTGTTGTGGCCTTTAATGCCTCCACACGTGCTTTGCCTTCAATAGTGTGCTATTTATTGCCTTTCGATCGCTATTCGTATTGAGTTCGCAGTGACTGAAGACTCGGTGCAGACAATCACCGATTGGTCCATATGTTGGCCGAACCAAAACGAAAGACCGTTTGGTCTTTGAATCCGAGGGGAAAGTATTGGTCCGAAGGTATGTCTCAGTGAAGC